GGAAAGAGTACTGCACTACATTACATATTTTAGCCATTCCATATCACCTAAAATACAATGGCACAGTTTGGAGTAAAATTGGTGAAAAGATGCTACATAATTTTAACAAAAATGAAACTGTGTTGTAGGATATGAACTGTATTCCATCTCTTAAAAATGAAGAAGCAATAGATTTAAACTATATGGCGAGTCTGTTGGCAGGGTTTGGCAAATGTGTGTATTTGTAATTTCCAAAAACTCATGTCATTGCCATTTTGGGGTGAAAAGCAGAGATATCTATGGTAACATTTGAATAATGCATTTCATAATATCACTCGGTTTTTCAGTTCCTAAAAACTAACCATCTTCAATCATTTGGGTTTTAGTAGAGGGTTCTTGTAGTGATGAGGGTCCAGGAAAGGTCTGAGAGGCAAGGCTTTTTTGTGATTTCTTTTATTGTACTAACTGTCTAGTAGGGAGAGCCACTGAACATGCTTGCAGGCTTCCTCAGGTCTGAAGGAGAAGAAGATGCAGGCTGAGCTTGGGTTTCAATTGCATGATTTCAGGGTGCTGGCTGCAAAGGGCTCTGACCTCATTCAGTGCTCAGGATAGAAACTATGGACAAGGGAAGAACAAAGTGAAAAAACGCTCTAGTGGTTAAATTGGACAAATACTGAGAAATGCTGAATTCTTTCAATATGCCATAATCTTCTGTAAGTGGTGGTGGGCAAGAACATATATCATATATCCATAAGGGCTGAAAGAAGTGACATGGGCTGCCTTGCCTCTTACCTGTGCATAGCTGCTGTGCTTAACTTTGCAATTGCTATGATTTTTTTTAGTGCCACTTTTGAATGTGCTTTGAAATAAACTGGAGAACAACAAAGAACACAAAGTGAGTGAGCGTTTTATTATAAGACCAACTAGTTTTAGCCTATTTAGCTAATCCATTATTGTTTACCCCAACAGTTCAAGTGTATTAGCAATCAAACCAAAGCAACAACGAGCAAGGACACAAGTCCCTGTACAGGAAGACAATGTATTTTAAAAGTCCTGTGGTCTCTCACGGTGACAAAATCTAAACCAGGCCTATTCATCTGCTTCTGCTGGCATTCATATGTAGTAAAAACCACAAAGTAGTATGGCTTTTCCATAGAGCTCCTGCAGAGCAATAGGATAAGCATAAGAGCAGCCTCCGGCTGTCCTGGTGCTGATGCAGGTGGAGACACTCAGTGATGCCACTGGAACAGTGAGGGTGGTGGGGAGCTGGGGCCATGCAGGGCAGGAAACCGTGGCTGGTAAATAGCATCTGGTGAGAGAAGCACTGGACGCAATGCAAGGCTACCAAGGTGACTTCCCCAGGGAAAACTTGGCTGGTCCCGCTGAGGATCTCCTGAGGTAAGGGGAGGTAGGGTTGACCTGCAGGTCTCCGCTGAGAGCTTCCCTTTCACATGGATGGACTCCTTGCGCTGTTGCTGGTCCCTGCAACAATCTGCAAGCTCCTGCAGCTTGGAACACAAGTTGTAATAGAAATAATTTGTAGTGTGACACCAAGAATGACACTCCGGCTTGAGATGGAAACTACATGGCAGCCTAATGGTGGAGGATGCCAATATTGCCAGGGTATCTTCATCCTTCAGCTCCTGGGGGAAGGGATCTCTTAGTATGCGTCTTTCAGGCCCAATATTAGGATTACCTTCTTCACATAAAAGTCTCAAGAAATTTTCTTGAACACAGTTATCCCTCTTGCCCGGTGACTTTTCTACAACTATTTAGCCCTCACTTTTGAGGAAAGCCAAGGTAAGGCCAAGAATCAGCAATGTAGGCACCCCCAGCTTGTGTTTTTATTTTTGCTAAACTGTCCTTCCCAACTCTGCTTGTGTCAAGAGCCTTGGGATTCAGACCTTTCACCTCTTCAGCTGTGAATCCTAGAGTCCACCTTGTCTTTGTCTCCAGCTCAGGCCTTGGATCTTTCCTCACCTCTAGACAATGACTTTTAGATCTTCTTCCCACCTTGGTTCCTGCCTCAGACTCTCCAGTTTCTAGTCCCTGGCTCAATTCCTGAATCCAGAAGTGTGATTCTCCCTGAATGTAGCTGCTGGCTCTACCTACTGTACCACACTGTCTACGCCTTGGTCTAACTGTGTTGTGATACTCAGGACATCAGAACCCATGATCCAACAGACCTTTATGGCCTTACAGTTTGTTACCTGTCAGCTCTGTGTTCCTGGGGTGTCCTGGCGCAGTCCCAGCCTATGTTGGTTAAGCATGTGTGGGCGTGAGAACAAGATGTGATACTGTATTAATTAATGGACATTGGATTCAACGCATGGTGCCTTATGTTAATCGCTGTTTTTGTAATGTAACCACCATTTTTAGTTGAGATCTGAAGTGTACCATGCCTATATGGACTATACAACATTTGACTGCCTATCCGGCGCTCTGCAAGGTTTCCCCCATTTCACTGGGAATGGGCCTCACTGCTATTAAGAGACTATTCACTCATCCCTCTTTCCAAGCCGGACTGCAAAGGCTCAGACCTTTGGGAGAGAAGGGCAAACCTGAGATTCAAACACAACAACCAGGAGATCTCTAGGCTGGCAGCTACAGTTAAAAACACTAGCTATCACTTCTGGTGGGAGGCTTTGCTTGGGTGGAGCCCCAGTGCAACAGGTCTTTTGAATATCATGCTTCACCCCATTGTGGTGATCATCAGTTTCCAAATTATACTAGCAATTGGTCTGGTTCTGCTGGGTTGCTGGATGAAGCGACTGATGTGGCTGCCATGGATTGAAGATCAGACCTGGTACCATGGAGTACAGATGTGATGGGGATACTCGTTCAATGCAAGCACCCCATCAATGGGGGGACGCCTTACCTGTCAGCTCTGTGTTCCTGGGGTACCCTGGCACAGTACCCAGCCTGTCTCACAAAGGACTCACACCACCCCTTACTCTCCACCTCAGCCTGAACCAGAACTGATCAGAAGAAGGACTTACAAAGGCAATGAAGATACAGTGAGAGACGCACCTAAACCCCTCCAGATAAGGCTGACAGGATTAAGGCAACTTCCTTAGTTTCATTTGCATCAGAGACGAGACAGGGTGGCAACTCCCCTAGTCCCATTTGCATCATAGATGGGAAAGGGAGGCACCTCCATTAGCATTCAGGATGGGGAACAGAAATTCCAAGGCAAGGACCACACTGACTCTGGGACCAGAGAAGCAGGGCAGCACTGCATGATGGGGGATCCCTGCTCCAAATGCTAATCATCCCACGTCTGCACACACCCAGCCATAGGTGTGTGCAGGAGGGCCCGAGGCATGTGAGCCCCGTAGGGTAGGCAGGCTCAGGTCCAGCCCGCCTACCAGCGGCATGCCGTCGATGGGCACTTGCCGCACCCCAAGGGTCCCCTCGGGCTCTGTGCCCCCCACCCCCCCGCCCCTCAGAGACGGCCACCCAGACGGAGCCCATGGGTCGGGTCTGCTCCCTACTGGGGTCTCTGGCGTGCCAGCTGGAGGAGCTCCAGGCCACAGTCCAGAGACTGTGTGCCATCAGGGACTGTGAGCAGGAGATAGACTCCTACTGCCAGGCCCTTCTCCCCTGGGAGGTGGAGGGTAGACCACTGTCTCCCTCCAGGACAAGGGAGGACTCAGGGACCTCCCATTCTGTCCAGTCAGGGGGATGGACCAAGGTGGTCAAGGGCCCCAAAGCCTGCCGCACCAAGGTCCCTGCCCCACCAGAGCTTAGCAACAGGTACAAACCTTTTGCAGCCCCAGCAGAGCCTGCTGAGTTGCCAGCTCCCGCAGGCAACACGGGCGCAACTGCAGCTACCGCCCCTTCTCTCCCCAAGACAAAACAGAAAGTGTTTGTTGTGGAAGACTCCATCCTGAGGGGGACTCAGGGGGTAATCTGCCGCCCCGACCCCTTAGCCTGGCAAGTCTGCTGCTTCCCAGGTGCCCACATCTGAGACATCGCGGAGAAGATCCCTGAGCTCCTCCAGCCCAATGACCACTATCCCGTGCTCCTTGTTCACGTGGGCACCAATGACATGGCTCAGAGCGCTCCCAGCCAGGTCATGAGGTGCTACAGGGATTTGGGAGCGGGGCTAAAGGGTGTGGGGGCACCTGTGGTGTTTTCTTCGATCCTCCCAATCACAGGCTATGGGCTGAGGAGGGAAAGGAGGATCCAGGTAGTGAACCAAAGGCTGTGGTGCTGGTGTCATTGGGAAGGCTTTGGCTTCCATGACCACAGCCCGCTCTTTGGCAAGAGAGGCAGCGAGGTGCTGGGAAGAGACGGCCTCCACCTCTGTCCATTGGGGAGGAGGCTCTTCTCAGCCCGAGCGGCTGGGACGCCTCCACCAGGCTTCAAACTAAGCCCGCTGAGGGACGGGGGGACTACCGCCACTGCTGGCCCGCTGAGCGACCCTTGCAAAGCCAGCAGGCCAAAGCACTTAAGGGAGCCCACCCCTACCACAGCCCTGGTACAATCTGGGCAAGGCAAGAGCCTCCAAGGGGACACTTGCCTGCCTGTACACAAATGCCAGGAGCTTGGGGAATAAGCAGGAGGAACTCATCCTCCTGCTTAACGCAAATAATTACGACGTCATAGGGATAACAGAGACCTGGTGGGACTCCACCCATGACTGGGTCACAGGTATAGATGGCTATATCCTGTACAGGGGAGATCGAGTAGATAAAAGGGGTCGGGGTGTAGCTCTCTATGTCAAGGAGAGCTACACATTCCTGCAAGCTGACCTGGGCTGACGACTAGAGACCCTCTGGGTTAAAATCCGTGGGGAACATGGCACAGGGGACACAACGGTGGGAGTCTACTAGAGACCTCCCACCCAAAGTCAAGAGCTTGACCAGGAGTTCGCCTGGGAACTGGCTGAGGCCGCATGCTCCAGGACCATGGTTGTCATGGGTGACTTCAATTACCCAGACATCTCGTGGGAGGATGGCTCAGCAAAATCCGAGAGGTCGCAAAGCTTCCTATCATGCGTGGATGACCTCTACCTGACTCAAGAAGTCTATGGGCCAACAAGAGGTAAAGTGCTGCTCGACCTGGTACTGCCAACTGGGGATGACCTAATCGGCGACCTAGTGATTGATGGGAAGCTGGGTGACAGCGATCATGAGCTGATCACCTTCACCTTCCGCTGTAAAGCTGGCAAGTCAGTCACCAACACTGAAGTCCTTGACTTTAGGAAAGCCGACTTTGACAAGCTCAGGAGGCTTGTCAGTGAGGCCCTAAGGGACCACGACCCCAGGGGGAGGGGAGTTCAGGAAGAGTGGTTGCTCCTCAAGGGAGCGATCCT